TAATAATAATAATAATAATAATAATAATAATAATAATAATAATAATAATTATAATTATAATTATAATTGTAATAACAATAATAATAATAATAGTAATAGTAATAATAATAGTAATAGTAATAATAATAATAACAATAATAATAATAATAACTCAAGATTATTGTGGTTGCCATTTGATTATATTTTTAAGTTATTGATTATTGGCGTGATAAATGATTTCCAAAAAAAAAAAGCAAAAAGAAAGATTAAACAAACAGTAATTATTTTTTAGAAAATATAACAAATGCTATGATGCTAATAATAAATTGTTTCTGGATAACTGACCAGATGTTGGACAACAGTATTGTTCCGCATTACAAGTATATCCGGATGGACATGCCATAGATGATGCACATTTTTGTAAGCGTCCACTTGGATCTTTTAATGGAGCGCTACCGTCACATACTAAAGTATATAATTAGATAATAATTTTTTTGTAAATTTGAAAATTTCATCATGAATTGTAATTTTTACTATGATGTTATTTATGATTGCAAATCAAATTAATTATCTTTAAACTATTAATTATCTTTTCAAATAAAATTATTTATCAATTATTTATCTTTCTAACAACTAATTACAAGCAATATTTGAGTGTATTATTTGTAATTAATGCAAAAACTTTAATAGAATAATTATTATTAAAAAATATGATAAATATTATAATGATGCAATTTCTCATTTTTTTTTTTACATTAAATTTATCAATACAAATATTAATTACACGCTAATTATCATTATCATTATAATTACCTTTATCATTATTAGTTATGCAATAATTTTCACAATCCATTTTATTACGAAAATTGTTACTATTGCCAGAACATCCGAAATATTCAAATGGTCGACATTGTTGTATTGTTTGATCGAAATAATATCGTTGAATGGCTACTCTTTGACCAAAACAATTTGTCCCAGCAGATGGCATTTCCTTACATACTATCTCTATAAATTTCATATTTTTTAAAATCACTTCACAAAAAGAAAAAACGAAACTTTTGTATATATGATTGAATAGTAGACATATTGCACAAATATTTATTATGAATATTGCATGCATACTGTATGTAGGTATATGCATACTGTAGGTACTGTAGCCATCATTATCTTGCATCAATAATTACAGCATGTCAAATTTGAGGTCATTTTAAAAAAAAAAAATCATTTCTGATTTAAGGCAATTTAAAAAAAGAAAGATTATTATCTAATTTTAGGTTATTTAAAGCTTATCAATATTCCCGAAAATTTTAATCAAACAGAAGAAATGAAAAAAAAAAACAAAAAAATGATCTTTGAAATTATATATAAACAATCAATAGCTTAATTACATTTGATAAATTAAAATTTTTGAAAAATATGCATCAATTTTTTGTTTATTATTCAAATGATCAATAATTTCCGATTATAATCCGGTAGATGTATTAAATTTCCGTTTCTGCAAACATTTATACCGGATATAATTGATTAATGCTTGTTTATTGAAATAATTTAACCTGGATTAGGACAACATATTGATACTGGTCCAAAAAATGGCTCATGACATGTGAAATGCTTTGGACATGTATTTGACATATACGGTGAACATGCGGCATTTAATGCATCCATACGGTATGCTACTCCAACTTTACATTGCTCTAAATAAATAAAAAAAAAAGGTTACGGTATGATGAATGAAAATGAATGAATTTACTGAAATTATTCCAAACAGAAATTTTTGTTTACTTTTACTTTTTTAAATTTATTTCTTCAATATTTATCTTTTTTATATATACCAGTTTTGATGTATAAATACTTCTTCATGTATACTCTCTCTCCCTCTCTCTCTTTCTCTCTTTCCCTCCCTCTCTCTCTCTCTCTCTCTGTCTCTCCTAAAGTAATCCAAATGATAAATTAAATCAACCATTATAATAAAGTAAACAAATGCATCTTTTCAATTTTAAATTAATATCACTATTAAATCTTAACAATAATTAATGCCTATCTTTAATCATCAATTATCTTAATAAACAAATATCTTTCTCTAATGACTATACTGTTAATCGTTAATCGCTTATCATTAGCCAACAATTATCTTGATAATCGACTATCGTTATGTATTGATTATCTCGAATCATCAATCGTTATGATAATCAGTTAATTATCTTTCTCTATCAATTATTCCAATAATTAATTATCTTCAATCATTGATTATTTTGATGACCAATTATCATTTATCATTAATTATCTTGATAATCAATTATTGTTTATCGATTGATTACTCTAATAATCGATTATCTTTTTTCGTCAATTATTTTGCTAATCAATTATCTTATGAAAAACAATTTTCATCATTTCTACTATCCTTATTCTTTTATTATACTTATTTCTAATTTATTGTAAATTATCGAATGATTAAATGAGCTTAAAAATTTTAAAAGATAATTAAAATTTACGAGCAAGACAAAATCCATGACATTGATCCAAGGTAAGAAAATTATTATCATTACCACCACAACCACTATAATTGAATGATCGACAAGCACCTGTTTTAATATCAAAATAATATCTTGTAACAGATAATTTTGATTCTTTACGCCAACAATTACCAATTTTACGTGGTAATGTGCAAATTTGTTCTGAAATTGATACTATTAATAGGTTGAAATTATGAATAAATTAACGAATGTTTAATTAAAACCTCTTTTGAATGTTTAATTAAAACCTTTTAAGGTGAATCCATTTGTTAATCACAATATGTAGTTCTTAATTAATCTATATCATTGTATAAAATAAAATCTTTATTTGAATATTTTTCATGAATGATTAATACTGTTAATAGCAAATCAGACCAGTAATTTATCATTAATTAATTAATTGTAATCTTTTACCTCTCTCCTAATACTTTCTATTTCATATTTTCATTTCTTTTCTTTGCTAAAAATTTGCCTCAATTAAGAAAAATTCCTTTAGAATTAAATACTTCAAATCTATAGCAAAATAAAATCACAAAAAAAAAAAATCAATTGTAATCAATAATGGTTATGATAGGCTTTATAAATTAGCCAAATTAAGTGTTATAATTTATTAACAATAATTATGCAACACATCATTAATTAATGATATAATTAAATATTTTACATTAAACATATTAAAAATAAATTTATCATAAATCATTGTAACATTATCACAATCACTTATCACTAAAAGATATTTTAACACTTACCATGTGATGGACAACAATAATTTGTAATTCCATTTGTTACACAAGAATATCCATTATGACATGGTATTTTCTCCGAACATTCCGTTGCACCATTATTTAATGGTTTACCAGCCGGACAAAAATCTAAATTAATTAATTAAAACAGAAAAAAAAATGCCGTTAATTATGATTTTTCAATTGTACCGTTAATTATGCTAATTATGATATTATTTCTAGATTACATTATGAATAAATTATTTATTATTTCAGAAAAAAAAAATTACTATTAATTGTGATTTTTTAATTGTGCTGTTAATTATATTAATTATGACAATGTTAATTACGATATTACAATAATTATATTGTACTTTCTAAATTACATTATGAATAAACTATTTATTATTAAATTTTTGATAAATTTTTTTTTCAATTTTTCTTTTTCTTCTCACAAATAAAGTAAATATTTGCACTTACTATGTGACATTGAATTTGTTTCAGAGCAACAAATTGTTGTCTCAAAAGTAGTACTTCGAACGCATACAAAACCATTTTGACATGAACTGTAAATTTTAAAAATCAATTGTAAATTTATATTTGATTACTTAAATACTGCAAATCCTTTTTTTCCTTTTCTTGTTTTTCCTGTATTATTTTTTTTTATTATTATTTTTATTTAATAATTTTAAAAGTAATGGGATAGTTTTTCTTTTTTCTGCGCTTTTACTTTTAATTTATGAAATTTTTTACAGCAATTAAGTATATTTGTTAATTAATTCATCAAAAAAAAAAAAACATACTTTACTGATTTAGTGGAGCATGAAACATAAGAACCAGTGATAGGATTGATTTGTGCCGCGGAATTTTGTGGACAACCAAAATTTTTACCACAACATCGAGATATTGATTTATCGGTGGTAATATGTCGTACTACTGTACATTTAAAACCTGTTGGACAAGAACTGTCGAAAAATGATAATGAGCAACTTCGTGGCTTACCGTTTGTTGTCTGTAAGTATTCTTTGATAACATTTTATGTGACAAATAAATGTCACATATTGTACATTTAAAACTCTATTAGACATGAACTATCGTGATTAATTCTTATCTTTCATTAATAATGAAAAAAAGTATTACGCATAAATGATATATTTTATAGCTAGATAAGAAAGGAAGTAATACTTTTACTTACCGTAAAGTTATCTTAGTACTTTCCATTACATATTTGACCTATGAACTAATTAATAAGCAAAATTTAGTATTTGGTAAATCTATGTTGAGAAAAAAGAACAGAGGTTACCTATGTAGAAAGAAAGAATGACTTTATTTTCTTCCTGTTATATACAATTATCAAACTTATAATTAGGATAAAATTCTTAATTAATTAATTTAAGTATCTTCATCCTATCTAGATTTCTAGACAACATTGGTACAATAAGCGACAAATGTATTCTTTTATTGCTTTCAAGAAAAGCAATAATCTTTTCGTTTCCTCTAACAAATTTTGAAATATTCATTGGATAAGCCTTTTCTTTTTATTTTAATTCATTAAATTAATGATGGTTTTGTCAAAGTGATAAACGATGAAATTCATCTTTGGTCATTCCGATAAAAAACTTTGATTCAAAAGATTTAAAACATTCTTTGTTGCATTATCACCAAATTATCAATTTTACTTGATAATAATCAAATATTAATGTTATTCATCGATTCAATAATAATTAACGAAATTGTGATACCTCAAAATAAGTTACTTGATTATCCGGACAATAATCTTCCTCATCATTAGCTTCCATCATTTCGCTTCCACCTTGACAACAGTATGCGGTGCCCGTTTTTGCATATAGTTTACAAACATATCCTAATTAGCAATAATTACAATAAAACTAAAAAACAAATTACAAAAAAGATATCAAACAAACCAATTGATATCATGAAATTTCATACAAGAAATTAAAATAAAGAAGAGAAAATATATTGTTAGATTAATGATGATAATTTTAAAGATGTTAACGATTGAGATGATAATTTTAATTGATATCAATTAAAGTTATCAAGTAAGAATGGAAGTGAATTAAATTAATTAAAATCAACAAACCATCTGGACAACTAATAACTGATGGATTACAAATAACTGGCGAACTTAAACGAGTCATTGGTATGCCACCACCACAAAGGTCATCTAAAATAAACATCAAAATATATGTTTGCTTGTATAATCATAATAATAATAAAGAATTTACATAAAATAAATATTTACGTATATTAATGTACGATCAAATTGAATCAATTAACCTATCATATGTTGATTTAACCTTTTGGTATTATGTTACTATCAATTTTTTCGTATTAATTAGTCCTCGTTATTGATTACTTTAAGCATATCATGATAATTATCATTTTGACGTGAACTTTTAAAGGTCAATTTAATTTTCATTTCATTCTAATTTATTATCAATACATGATTGATTCCACTATCATACGTTCATTTAATCTTTTGGCATATGATATTATCAATTTTTCCTTATATCCAAAAAATTTATCACTATATGCAATAATTTTATTACTATTGATTAATACTATCTAAGTTTAGTTTATTTATTTCAGATTATTATATAGTATAATTTCATTATTAATTAAAATTAATTTCAATTATGAATTATTCGATTAATTCTTGTAGATTTATGCAATAACTTTTTAGGATATTTGTCAATTTTGATTTTGAAGAAGTAAAATGTAAATTCTATTTTATTGTATGAAAATTAAATTTCATTTCATTATACGAAAATTAAATTTAATTTCATTGTGTGAAAATTTCAATGTAAAAATAATATGAAATAGAAGATTTATCCAGTTTCTTTTTTTTTTGTTATATTTCATTTTCACCAGGTGCTTGAAATTGAGGTAATAAGAATGGATCGATATCATTTGCTACTTCTGATTCATTTACACATTCCAATAATGTTGCATTAAACCATTTATCATCTGGACAATTGCGCTTCAAAAATTGCCTGTAAACAGATAGAAGAAAAAAATTGTGAAGTTTGAAAAAATTACTGTATACTAAAAATTACTGTATAATATGTGTTACTGTATGGTATAAATTACTGTATGATATATAAAAAATTACTGTATGATGTGCATTAATATTATTATGGGTACATAATGTTTGTCTATGCAATTAATATTAATGTATAATTAAAAAAAAAAAACTGTTTAATCATCATAACTAATATTAGTTACAAATTTTTCCTTCTTTTTCTTTTTTATAATTTCCACATATAAATAATTGGATTTTTTATTTTTACTTATCCGAAAAAATACTTTTTAAAATAATGATCAAGAAATATTGAAAAAAAAATTTCCGATTAAAACTTAATTAGTTAATTAATTAACTACCCATCAATATCACAATAAAAGTATGTTTTATTATCGGAAGGATCGGCCTTCTTCGTATCTATTCCTGGCCTACATTCAAATGTTGTCGCAAAATTCGCCGATATTACTCTCAGCAAATATGCCTAAAATCATTTTACAAATGCAAACAGTAATTACAGGTGCATACATTAAAGGATAAAAAGATTTTCATTTTTATTTTATAGCATTTTAATCCTATATGAATGTATTAATTAATTAATTACTCTCAATTTGTTAGAACCAATTAATTAATGGCTTACATTTTCAAATCATTAGGTAAGCTTAAATTCGATTAATAAATAAAATAAATTGCTTCATTAAATTTTACTAAATATTTCGCTAAATGCTAAACAAAAAAAAGAAAAAAACCAATATTATTATTATCATCATTATCAAAACAATAATTCTATTTTAATGAATATTTTAATGGAGGAGAAAAGGCTAGACGAAAAATAATAAATAATAATGATAATAATAATAATAATATTATTATTAATAATAAATATAATTACAAATGACAATAATAGTAATAATACTTACTGATAAAATAATATGGTGAATTATCAGCATGATAAATGATAATTATATCAATTGATAGATAAATGAATACACCACAAATCAATACATATATACACTTTTTACTATGAAACAATAATGTATAATTGAATTGACTGTAACTGACCGATACAATTACACTTTTCAAAATTGTACATATTTACGTTTTGTGTACGTACCGTGTAACTCCTCTCTATAGCTGCTAATTCAAACTAGTTCTTGTTTTGAGACAATTTTTAAATTATCCTACAATAGTTACACAGACATACACAGATATACAGACATACACAGACACACACACACATACACACACACACACACACACACACACATACACACATACACATTCATACAAACATATCGAAAAGCTCCGATACGATTTTAGCTTTGATTACTCCTCAATTGGTGACATTGGTGACTATCTGTAACAATCTTACCATTACTATTACTATTTATTCTTACTAACTTACTACCACTACTATAACAATTTACTACAATAACCAGTATCAAATGGTGTGTGCTATTGAAATGATTTACACAAGAAAGTTGGGTAGTTAAAAAATGTTTAAAAAAAAAAAAAAGGTAAAATGATTCATTAAATTTACAAATACTAAAAAAAAAAAATTTCAAGTATTTTCAATTTTTTTTCTTTGAACGATTAAATTTACATTTATGAAATGGTTCATTTCATTTTTGCTTTATTTTTAGTATTTTAAAATTTTTTTTTTAAATGAATTACAAATGAAGGAAGGAAGAAATCAATGTATTGGCAAATTTAAAATATACTATAAAAAATGATTCATCAATTAATTACTGATTGGCATGAATTTTACAGAAATGATTACTTTATCTGAAATAGTAAAGTATCATTATAGGAATTAATATACTTGAAAACTGAAGTTTATTGCACTAAACTGCAATAAATTTATAATTATAATCTGTTATTAAAAATTTGTAATTATAATCTGTTATTAAATAAGTGTACCGTAACGCTATGTGAGTGATAATTAAATAGGAATTGAATATAATAATTCGATAATAAAGTGACCAGGAAAAAAGAATAAACAAATTGACAATTTTTTGCTTTTTTTTTTCCTATTTGTCATTTTCCACGAAGAAGTCTGTGCTATTTTAGAATATAATTTTGAACCATTTCATTCCGATAATTTATTATCGAATTTCCGGTAATTTATTGCCAAGTTCCGTCAATTATGCATAATTTAGGTCATTACCATAATCAGACGATTGAATCCTTTTAAATTGTCATGAATTATCAAAAAATAAATCACATTTAAAGAAGTTAAATAATAAATGAAAATTAAAATCATTCATACTCAGTGATATGATAATGTCATCATATGAAATAGTAAAAAGAAAATTGAAAATTCCAATAATTTCCTTGACCAAATAACAAAACGATTAAAATGTTAACTTATCATTATTATCATATTATAAATGTATAAGATAACGATCATTATCAAACAAGATAACGAATAAAATATTAGTAATGCAAATGGGTACAGAGAAAAGGAAATTATGTATCAAATAATATTTATGTTAATTTTGCATAATTAATTTCATTAAGATTAATAATTAATTGAAATCTATTTTAGAATATCATTTCATTTGCACTCCTTACACTGTCTATGGATTGGTAAAATCAGTAATTCATTTCAGAAATTGATTAGACTGATTACAGTTTGTTAATAAATTAATCCTAATAATTTATATGATGATAATTCATTTAATTAATTCCAAAGTTACTGATCAAATGACAAATTGTATACATACACTTCATAGTATATTAAAATTCTTTTCTTTTCCAATATTTGAATAATTAGAAAACTGTCATCTTTCGTTAATATAAATTCAATTCTTCATTTGATTTATACCGAATTAAAATGTAAGTTATACTGAAATAAGATACAATTTATACTGAATTAAGTAATTTATACTGGATTAAAATATAATTTATACTGAAATAAAATACAATTTGATACTAACTTAATAATTTGTACTGAATTGAAATATAATTTACATTGAAATAAAATACAATTTATACTAACTTAAGTAATTTGTACTGAATTGAAATATAATTTACATTGAAA